AATTCCCATTCTGCCAGCTATTTTAAGAAAAGCATTCCAAGGCATTTCATTTACTTGCCTCAGGGGACTTAATAACTTTGGGAGACCTTACCTACACATTATATGGCTAACTGAAAACATTAGTACTGCTCAAATTCTTGGACCCAAGCAACAGGAGGGGGAAGAGAGTGGGGGAGCACCCAGTCAGCATCCCAACTCATCGTGATCCTATAGGGCAGAGCAGACCTGTCCCTTAGGGTTCCAGAGACTAAAAATCCTTGAAAGTGAATAAGCTACACCTTTCGCCTACAGAGCCTCCAGCCGGTGGGCTTGCACTGCTTTTTGTTAAAACATTAGCCACTGTGCCACCAGTGCCCTAACTATGAATATGAGGGTTAATTATAGTATTTTAGTGTGCATTTCTAAGATTGTTGAACACAATCAGGTCATTATGAGTGATAGCAAACTCAAAAAAGACTGCTGCTAGGGTCCGTTAATACAAGCACAAGTTTATTCCAAAGTATGTTCAACATGGCTCTGTGGATGGTGTGATTGGAGCGCACACAGCAAAGCTAGTTTATGCCATTATTGCCACAAACATAACATACTAGGAGTAATCACAGTGAGTCAACAATTATATGTAGTCCAGTTAATAAAATATTTTTTATTGAACAAAAATTGTCCAAAAGGTTACATTCAAGCCTTTGTGTAATAGTGCAATGGTGTAACGATAGTCATAAGTAGGATAGCCGTCAAAGGGAATTACTTACCTTGACAACTGCATTCTCCAAATGCACATGCTCCATTGGATTACTCAGGTGCCAGAATGCCAGGACAACTCACGGTTTAGGGTTATGATCTCAATACGACACCCATGATCTAGCCATAATTCTCTGAAGTATGATGACTTTGCTAATCGACGGGCTCTTATTGACGCGATCGAAAGATATCACAAAAAAGTCCCCAATTATAAATGAAGATGGTGCTGCATAAATCCAATCCAGGGAACTGAGGTTACAGGTAGACAATCCTTAGCTTTCTGGGGAATGAGACCCAAATGACTGGCTCAAGAAAAATCTGAGTCACTGCAGTAAATTGCCGAGTTTCGGTTTCATGACCCAGCAAGAGCTGGCGAGCTGAAGGGATATGCAGCATGGGCATGAGTCTCTCCTTTTTGAAAGAAAGGGGGGTGGGGGGGAAGAGTTGAAAAAGGGTAAACCCATACACAGTTCTCAACAATATTTATGTCAACTCTCCGAACTATTACTCAACGGGCCCGTGTACTCTCTCTAACAGCATCAGGTGAATCAGTTCTAAAGTCTGGGCCCTGGTTCTGAACTACTTAGCGATAGCTAAGACCTTCAGCAAGACAGTCTCAATGCCCTCTTTTTTTCATGTGATTAAGATTTTCTGCCATTTGGTTAAGCCAGGGTGCCAATGATGGATTTCCACAAACCAGATAGATATCAGAAGTTTTCAACCCTAAATTATCTGAGGGCTAAAGATTTAACTAAGATTTACTTCAGCCTCACCTTAAGATTCTAATTTAATTATGGGGCTTAGGTGTTATATTGTTTTAACTCTTCAAATAATAGCAATAGGTAACCAAGAGTTCGGAACCACTGTTAAGGTGAGAGATGGTGGAATGCCTAGGCCTCTTCAGTATTGACTGGGATTGGGAATTGGTATCTTGGCACGCTTTGAAGGGCAACAACTCCCATTGGCATTACACTGCACAAGAAAGGATTCAGGGATGTAAGAGCTAACACTGTCACCATACTGTTGACTACACCCTACAATGGCGAAAATAAGATATGCTGGTTCCCTCTATCACCTGTGTGGCTCATTACCTCAACATGAACCAAAGAGGTCCTTTAAGGGGTGGAGACATAGAACCTGATATCAGTTCCCCAACATCCTGAGTTTGGGTCAATGAAAGGAGCACACATTGAGGGAAAACTTAGATGCCACATTCCAATATGCATCCAATTATGAAGGACTGAGAGGTATAAGGAAGGAGGAACGTGGGAAGAAATGGGAGTGTCCCACTAGCATGGAAATGTCAAAGGAATTTCTGGAAGTTTGCATCTCCAGAAAATGATCAGTCAGTCGTTGTAAGCAGGTTGATTAATACTTTGGGAGTACATTTACCATTGATGGCTTTATAATAAATATTAAAACATATTCTGTCAAAGTCAAGGCATATTCTGTCAGCTTTCCCAAGAACAGAGTCTCAAGAGATAGTCATCAGGAGCACTTTGATGGGTGTTAACATGTGTCAGGTATAGCACAAGAAAGTTATCAGACACCTTGTTGATCTATAGAACAAGTTCAAAAATGACATTTGATTTTAGAATGTGTGTTATTTACTTTTGACTGGGTTACACCTGATGTTAAAAGAACTGAAAAAACAAACTAGTTGATCTATTTTGTCTCCTGCTATGTGACCTGAGAATCTGCTCCCATAAAGATTATATCTAGAACTTCTGTGGGGCAATTCTATCGTCACATTGGGTCCCTACTATGTGTCAGCAGTGACCTGACAGTATACAATTCATGCTTTATTTTGCTCTAATGTCAGAATTTAGGGCTGGGTTTAATGTTGGAACAGTTGCCTCCAACTACAGAAAAATAAACTACTTACAATGCTGGTGTGGCTACATGTGTACAGCTGTAGTAAGAAGCTATAAGAGATCTTTTATGGATAAATCTTAAGGCCTGGCTGCTCCAGTAATTAAAACCAGCTAATTGTATTATTTTTAACAGAATTGAAATTTACAAAGGGGACAAACAACCGGGGGGGGGCGCTAGGTATTGATTCTTGGAAAGTCTTTTGTATCTGTCAGAAGTAGTAATAACTAAGGAATGCTTTTACTTAACTGTTTGTATCCTATCCAGCAGGAATAACGAAGCAAATCGTACTAAATTAAAGAGCCTAGCAATGGAAATGAGATCAGCCAAGAACAGCCAATACTGGATATTATTAACCAAGCAGCCACCATACTGTGTTGTTAAAGATAATCATCCCATTGATCTGCAATTTTAGGTCTCAAAATTCAATGACAGGGCAATTGAGACTCCGGAAACCTGGTATGTATTTCTGAAATTCAATAAAGTAGCAATTCTTAAACTGGGCTGATTCCTAGCCTGCAGACTAAAACCTAACTTTTGAAACTGCTCAGATGAAATACTGTGTAGGCCAAAGCAAAAGCACTTTACAAAGGAAAAGGGTGCTAAAACATTAGAACATTCCTGAGTTCCAGAAAAATTCAGTACTTTCACTACCCCATTTCAAGGTATGATTTGGAGAAACTTCCCAGTCTTAAAGATTATATTAAAAGGGGTTCAATAGACAGGTTTCAACAAAACACTAGGTTATTCAAGATTAACACTTTCTTTAACTGGGGAAATTCTCAAAGCTTTTCATATAATGAATATCATGGTTCTCCAAGACTAATGGACAAATGTGCAGCACTTCTCAAACTTTATCTCATGGACTGGGTGTTTCACCGGACATACTTCAGCTGAACAAACAAACAAGGACTCTGATGATATATTCCTCCTAGATTGCTAGTTTTTGCTTAAATATAAAACCATAAGCCACTTTTGTTATGAAAACAAAAAATGTCTCCACATACATAAATGCGTATTGATAATACGTTGTCTGATCCAGCTTTTTCAAAAAAGAGAGTGAACCCTTCACATTGGTAGAAGACAGACACCCAGCAACGACGAAAGAAACATTCCCTTTGCTGGCCCTGCAGCACACTTTTCACTGAATCCTAAGCAAAGTCCTGTCCCTGTCAGATTACAAACACACAAACAAACAACTTGCTAATTAGTTACATGGCAATAACCCGAAATGGAATTTGTAAAAAACAAAACAAAACCATAGTAACATTTTTCACTTGGCTAAGATATTGAGAGAGGAATTTTGTCTGTAAAATGAAAGTCTAGTACTACTTTTATTCATATGACTGCTCATATGAATGTCAGAAATGATTGGTTACAAGTTGCTGGTAATAGCGCGAGATGCTGAAACCAGCATTCCCAGATCTTCTTTGCTGGTTGATAGAAAAGATGACAAGGCTAGGCAATTACATCGCATAGACCAAAACTGACCAATCTTTGGAGCCATAGGTAATCAATCTTGTCTCCGAACTAACTGTAGAACTCTATGAAATGTGGTATTTCACATTCCCATTTTTAAGGTGTGTGATGGCTTTTGTGATCTCAGAGCTGCTCCCCTGACCAGGCAAACAAGAGATCAAGCTCTTCTGGAATTCTGTGTGTGCTACTCCAGAGACAACACGAAGGCAGTCTCTCACTGCTTTGGAGAAAACACAAATGTTCTCTGTAAGGGTATGGAAGTTGGTTATAAGAGAAGATAAACTCCCGATTACTGGAAATGTCAACATTGAACACGGAAGCATTTATATAGAATGCGGTTTCAAAACATTTTCAACTAGGACCACTCAAGTTTCTCCTCCCATGGCTGTGGCATTACAAAAGTCTAAAATACTTCAACAAATTCCTGGTGCTCTTTCCATCATAAGGAAACTCCAGTTTCCTACAAAAGACAGCTCATCCATACCTTTATATTATCTTTCCCTCCCCATCCTTCAGTGGAATGTTTACTTACAGAGAAACTCTGATATCAAACCACTTAATTTACATGGTGAATGATGACTGTTTCTAAGAGCTCTTAAAATCTAGCATGGTGTGAAAACTCCCAAACTTATCTTTATAGAACATCCATAGCAACAGTAGGTCTTTACATAAAGAACAAATGAGAGAAAGGCAAAAGCAGTATCATCTGTCTGCGCGTAGGCAATGCCGTCTTGTTGCACCCGTACAAACTCTTCAGTCTCATTTAGTTATCACCAATTTAGCTCGTAAGAGTTGATGTTTGTTCCAGCAGAAAACTCACAAATGTGATGTAGCAGCTCCAGTTAACTCCTTTTACAGTACTACATGTCAATACTGGGAATCGTCTAATCAATTTAAACTTCACTCAGTACTTTAACAGAACAAGAAATTTATTACTCCCACTCAGTAGTTCCTGGGGGCTTTGATGTTAAGTCATACATAATTCGAGAAATACCAGGTATCTTCTTAATCTCAGTGACCATCTTCAACACGACCTGTTATAAAACAAAGATTATAAATAAAAGAATCAAGAACTCGTGCACGTCAAACAGTCCTAGAGGGCACGCATTTGCCATTTAAAATGAAAATGTAATATACTTTCACTATTGTCCTCTTTTATGTGAGATACTCTCTAATTATGTACAGTGAACCTGTTTCTCTGTACAAAAGATATTAGTGTTTTAAATTCGGTACTACTCAAAATGTGCTCTGCAAATAGGCGCTTTGCCTGTGAAATGTTAATGCATCAGTTACATTTTAAAAAGTGGAAAGAATAAATGCTTAGAAACTTTTATAGCAATTTGCCATTGCTGTGTCATTTAAGCATACAATTTTTCTGTGTCTAAAAATCAATGCTTCTCAAATGCTTTGTGGTTTAAACATAAACTCTTGGTATCAGTTACATACTTTCAATATCAACAGAAAGTAAAAGTTTAGAAAATAATGATGGCGGGGAGCATAGGACCAAGTCAAGGTATGATGGAGCAACGATGAAAAATACAACTTTCCTCTAGTTCCTGAATGCTTCCTCCCCGCCCACTCTCACGATCCCAATTCTACCTTGCAAGTCTGGCTAGATCAGAAGATGTACACTGGTATAAATAGGAACCGGAAATACAGGGAATCGAGGACAGATGAGCCCTACAGGACCAGTGGTGTGAGTGGCGATATTGGGAGGGTACAGGGAGGTGAGGTGGAAAGGGGGAACCAATTACAAGGATCTACATGTGACCTCCCTGGGGGACAGACAACAGAAAAGTGGGTGAAGGGAGACGTTGGACAGGGCAAGATATGACAAAATAATAATTTATAAATTATCAAGGGTTCATGAGGGAGGAGAAGCAGGGGGGGTGGGGGGTGGAATGAGGAGCTGATGCCAGGGGCTTAAGTGGAGCACAAATGTTTTGAGAATGATGAGGGCAGTGAATGTACAAATGTGCTTTACACAATTGGTGTATGTATGGATTGTGATCAGAGCTGTACAAGTCCCCAATAAAATGGGAAAAACAAAACAATGGATTGGTTAAACAAATTTTAATACATTCATATGCTGGAGCCCTTCAGAAATGTTTCTGAAACAGAAATGGGAGTAGCGATACCAGAAGGGCAGCACGAAGGCGGGGAACAAAAAACAGAAAAGTAGGTGAAGGGAGATAGCAGTCGGTGTTAAGGTATTAAAATAATAATAATTTATGATTTATCAAGGGGTCACAAGGGTGGGAGGGAGGGCAAAAAGGGAGCTGATACCAATGGTTCCAACAGAATGTAAATGTTTAGAAAATGATGGCAACATATATACAAATATGCTTGATATAATTGATGTATGTATGGATTGTTTAAGAGCTGTAAGAGCCCCCAATAAAATTATCTTAAAAACAAACAAACAAAAGCACACAGAACTCTGAGGCTCTAAAAATTACTGCCAAGGGTTTTCTACAAACTTTCTGAAGGTTGGTAAGTTTCAGCAGAAGGAAAGCTGACTCTAAGCAATATTCTCCAGCCCAGCTATAACCACAGCTTTGCATCAAAGTACTAGTAAAGTCCCATTAATATAGTCGTATTTTGATTTGCAAATTCCAGGAGCCCTGGTGGTACAGTGAGTTACAAGTTGGGCTGTTAGGCAGAAGGACAGCAGCTTGAAACCGCCAGTCCTTCCCATAGGACAAAGATAGGTTTTCAATTCCCGTAAAGAGTTAAGTTTTAGAAACCCACAGGGGCAGTTCTATTTTGTCCTACAGTCACTATGGCTTAATGGCAGTGAGTTTTTGTGATTGATTTCCAATTGGCATTATATAAAAAAATCCTCTGAATAGAAGAGGGTGGAAGAAAAAGTAAACTGGGGAAATGGTGGTCAAACATGGAGTTGTTAGTAGGTTCTTATTCAGCATCTTATTTATGGGTATCTGGCCATAATGCCATTAAATCTTATCTCATATTTGTAATAAGCTTTTACTCTACTCCTAACATTTGCTTCTTTACGTAGGATGTACGTAAAGTACAGATTAGAAGGATCAGATAAATTGATTGCAGTGGATTACTCTACACACAGTCATCAGACATCTGGAGGGGTACATTAAATCTAAGGCCTTTTTCTGATACAGTGTACTAAACAGTAAATACATGGGACCCCTGGTGGCGCAGTGGGTATGCATTGGGCTGCTAATCGAAAGGTCTGCAATTCAAAATAACCAGCTGCTCCTCAGGAGAAAGAAGGGGACTTTTGACTCCTGTAAATAGCAACAGTCTTGGAAAGTAACAGGGGTGGTTAGTACTGTTTTATAGGGTTGCTATGAGTTGGCACAGACTCCACAGGAGTGAATTTGTTTGCATTTCTGTGGAGATAAAATGTAAGAGCCAACCTCACTAACAGATTATCAACTCCCAAAATAGAACACCGTCAGTCTGGTCCATTCACTCTATTATAAAAAGCATGTTTCTTTTTATAAATGTACATGAACAAAAATCTATGTAAATTACCTCTACGGGGATCTCACTGCCAGGTGTCGCAGGTATCCCAGTCATGAAGTCACTAGTGATAAAGGTTCGAATAACCACAGATCTCTGGCATGAAGGCTGCTTCTGGAGTGGATCCCGATCAAAATGTAATGGTGTCAAAATCACGGGCATCTGGCTGATTTTCCCAGCATAGCCTAGAGAAAAAAGGTTAAGATGCAGAACCAACCAGGGAGAAGCATTTCAACCCGGTTCAGTAACATCCTCTCCCACAGACACCACTGTTGGGAATGATATCATGCATTCCTACAGCATGCTAAAGTTGACTCAATCAAAAACACAAACAGAATCAGATCATTGCAGGAACAGGCTAGTCTTGTGAAATATATTAAAAAAAAACTACCACACCAGTGATCGATGACTGACAGAGCTTCCTATAGGGCTGTTAAATATACAGGAATTTTGCCTTATTGGGCCTAAAGGTATATGAATATTCTCTTTGGAATTTTAAGAAATAATTCAGAGGAAAATTGATTATATTCCTAAAGAAAAAAGTCTAATTTCTTTACTTCGACACCAAACTAAACGGGCTAGGTGTGGGGAGCGCACTCCTGAACCCCTAAGCTTCAATAGGAAGGAAAATGAAAATGGAGTCCAATCAGAGACTCTTAAACCACCACTGTAGATAGGCAGCACATCACATGGTCAAGGAGTTTTTGCTACCTCATTCATAATATGGTTCTACTAAGTAATACTGCCAATTACAGAGACTGCTCTTTAAAATGGAAGGGGCCAGGAAATGCAGCCTAGGTTCTGGGTAACGCAGGGTGGCCTCTCTGGGTCTATCCAGACAGGCGCTGGGAGCTGAGATGTGCTCTCCTCTCACATTCCTTGCAAACAATGCCTAAGCAGCTCACTTTTCTCTTCAGAAGTGAGATGGTTTTTTGTTTTGTTTTGAGAATGCAACAAAGGTAAGTGTGCTTTCTGACAAATGTCTTATTCATCAGGCTATAAAGAAGTCACCCAAATTTGATGACCCAAGGAGAAGTGGAAAAAAAGGACAATTTTCCTATTCTGAAACACCACATTCTCAAACCTCCTCCCCTTTCCTTAATATTCCAGTTAAGATCGATGGTTGTATGGAAAGGGCATCTGAAAAAAATAGTATGTTTGCATACACTGGATCCACAAACATTCTGAATCCTCTTGAACAGCCTAAAGCTATGTGCACGAAGGTAATTGAATTATAGTCAATTAACACGGTAGTGCCATACAGAGAAACATAAATAAAAACAGATGACAAAAACCAGTGGTTTTTTTTATACTCTTTCACAGGTATAGGTTAGCTTACAAGGCATTTTAGTTGGGGTGGTGAAAGAGAGGGGAGTTGGAAGTACAGACGAAAGTATACAGATCCAACAATATTTAAACATATTTGAATATAGCGTATGTGTACATGTGTATACACTATATTTAGTAGAACCATAACTATGCTTCCCAAATAAAACATATATAACATATCTGTGAAACAGGCATCAAGCTCTTCAAAAATGTTTTATATAGAAGGCAACTTAAAAGAACCTTCACAGAATATGTGAAGTGAACTGAATTTAAAGGCTGTATAGTTATAATTCCAAGCTTCCAAAACCTAGCTGCCACAAGCAGTGACCAACAAAATGAGCAACTTACCAGACTCCCGGAGAATGTTATGGGCCTCAAAATCAGCTTGTCGTAAAGTACTAAGCACACCTGTTGTCAAGAAAGTAGGAGTAACATCTGTGGGAGGTTCTTTAACTGGTGGACCAAATATATAAACAACTCTAAAAGAGGGGAAAGGAAAAATCATAAAACAGCAGGTTAGCAGGAGAAACAAGGTGTACAGAATAGCAGTATTCTTTCCCACTTATTCCTAGGCATCTCTCCAATCCACTCTAACTGACCATAAGGGTAGGAAGATGTGAAGTGCACCTTCCTCAAAGAGTATCCTCTGGAATACTAGAATCTCAGAAGATACAGCACACCATCTATCACAGCCTCTTTTCACTAAGCTTGTGGAAACACTGAGTTACATAAGTAAGTGTGTTCCTTTATGATAGGACTTAAGAAATTGAAATATATCAATATGTGTTGGAAATCTCCAAAAAGAAGATACAATGAAGTTCCATGATGCCAGAGAGATTTTCATCTCCACTTTACTAAAACTGCCACTGAAGTAAGATTTGGTATTCTACTGCTTCCTTCCAACGACAGAACTCTCATTTACTGATAAAAGCAGATGTCTGAAAGATAGAAGGCATGCTGTATGATGAAATGAGGATCAGACAATTACGATAAATCTAAGTTGAGTTATAGAGAATACAGTCCTTCTAACCATAATTCCTTAAGCAATATAATTCTGGATTTTTTACCCCTGTGGCTGCAGTCTTATTTCAGCGAACACTGTCTACTAATAGGAATAAGTTTGGATTAAGACCTGAACATAGTAGAGGGTGTGAACCATGGCACACCCTTTATTTCCTTGATGGCATCTTTAAGATCCCACCACCATAGTAGAGTATGAACTAAGCAACACCCTTCGTTTCCTTGGGGGAATTTTTACTCCATTTTAGATTATGGGAGCCCTGAAGGTGTAGTGGTTACATGTCGGTTGCTCACTGCAAGGTCAATAGTTCGATATCACCAGTAACTCTGTGGGAGAAATATGAGGCTTTCTACTCCTGTAAAATGTTAATAGTTAGCATCTTGGAAGAGGGTGAACATTTGGGACATCATCCATCTCCAACTCCTTGGGACTAGTCTGGTATTAGTTCTTCTACAAGAAATGATCACGATGTAAACCACAGCATTATCACTAGTCTAGAGACTTACTCCACAATCCAAAGCCAGAAAACAGAAGGCAGTCTAGACAGAGGTATGGTATGAGTGTGACCTAAGCATGTCCTTTCCAACTCCAGCAGCAGACAGAACTGCCCCTTCTAAGTAGTCCTACTTGTCTCTAATAAAAAAATAAATCTCAACTTGCAAAGGCAAAACCCCAAAACATCTCATGTTCAGTTGAGTCACATTTCAAAGTTATTGTGCACATAAAGCAAGCGCCTGTGTAAACACAGAATAATGGCACAATTTAATAATTTTATCTGTTTCTTAATGTGCACTCGAAGGGTAAAAACGTACAAAAGAGAACATTATCAGGTCAAATCCATGACTATTGCCACCAGCTATGTACTTTATTGCTTTCCTCCAAATATTGCATAGGAGGGGAAGGGTTGTTTCTTTAAAAATCATTTTATTAGGGGCTCATACAACTCTTAACACAATCCATACATACATCAATTGTGTAAAGCCCATTTGTACATTCATTGCCCTCATCATTCTCAAAACTTTTCCTCTCCACTTAAGCCCCCAGCATTAGGTCCTCATTTTTCGCCTCCCTCCCACCTCTCCCTTCCCTCATGAGCCCTTGATAATTTATAAATTATTATTTTGTCATATCGTGCCCTGTCCAACGTCTCCCTTCACCCACTTTTCTGTTGTCCGTCCCTCAGGGAGGTCACATGTAGTAATCGGTTCCTTGTAATCGGTTCCCTCTTTCCAACCCACTCTCAGGAGGGGAAGGTTTTAATCTCATGCACAGAATTGAAGTCACACTTCTTAACAACATATCTCAAACAATCCTTTAACTTATCCAACCTAAAAACATCCAGTCATTTCTGACTCATAGCAATCCTATTTAGGGTTTCCAAGGCTTTAACTCTTTATCTCTAAGTGGGTAGTGGATCTTGTGGCCAGCAGCCCAACAGCCAACCCACAGTGCCACCAGGGCTCCTTAAGAAATCCTTACAAGAGAAAGTAATTATTAAGCAAGACAATGTTATGTATTTGTTCTTTTTGCCTTATTATCTCTCACAGATAAGAGTGATCACTAGTGTACCAAGTTTCCCTCATTGTAAAGATACCAAAACTGAAACAATTGTACCTTGTACAAAGATTCCATCATGCAAATTACAAACATAAAACATATCGTCAAATCCCAATAATTTTTTAAAAAGTTCTAGCTATCAAAACCCTAAGACTACTTCTTTAAGGACCGCCTAGCCTCCTATTCTAAAAGCCCTTGTGGCATAGTGAGTTACAAGTTAGGCTGCTGAATGGAAGGTCAATAGTTTGAAACCAACAGCTGGCTCTGCAGGGAAAAATGAGGCTTTCTACGCTCACAGAAATTTTCACTCTGGGAAAGTCATAAGGGTAATTCTACCCTCTCCTATAGGACAGCTATGATATGAGTCGAATCAACTCAAAGACGGTTAGTTCGGTTTGGTTTTAGAGGTTCCTATTAAAATATCTAGTTCTCTTTGTTGAAGGTCAAGCTTTTTATTTTTACTTTCCTTTACTGGAGGAAAGAAAGCATAGATAAGGATAAAAGATTATGCAATCAAAAGGCAAGAAAGAAATGTAGAATATAAAAAGATAGACATCAAGTGATACACAGATAAACACCCTTGGCAAAAGAAAGAGATAAAACCACAAATGCTGTGGAATAAAAAGCACATTAGTGATACATTAAGTGTAATGGAGTCAAACCAAGGGAAAGGCCATTTTCTGTAGAATGTACAAAATTTATTAAGTAGTACCATTCTTCAGAATAAGAATTATGACCCGCTGCTTTGACAAAACATTTATCTCCAGTCAGTAGAGGCATTCTGTATTTTGTGACTTTAACTTCACTGGAGTAAACCCTAATGAGTATGCTCCCAGCACTGACTATATTAGTCAACATTCAAAAACCACATCCCTCTACTACACCTTCCCCCTTGAGCCCCTTGCAAAACATACCTGTTAATGTTGTGACACATACGAGGTATAAGCCTCGCCAGGAAAATCAAAGACTCCCAGTCAGGCTCTTCTTTACTGGAGATTCCACACACATAACTGTAGGAACGACAGTCACCCTGAAGTAGAAATGCAATCAATTATTTATAATCTCTTTTTATTGAAGATAAAAATATGGGCTGGAGAATATCCTGTGCATAGTGATACCATTCAAAGCAATTTTGTCTTTCTGAACAAAAACTAGGTGTTTGAATGAAAATACATAAACTAGATACCCCTTATCCAATTATATAAATAAACCCCAAATTGAAAATCCAATACTAAATGCTATCAGTTCAGACATAAAATTTCATGGTAAACTCAAGAATCTATATGCCAGAAGCTCACTGAAGTTTCATTCAAAATACCTGCCCAACTGTAGATATACAGTATACCTTATATACTCAAGTATAAGCCGACCCAATTATCAGCCAAGGCACATAATTTTACCACAAATGCTGCATTTAAAATGTACTGAAAAGCTCGGATTATACACGAGTATGTACAGTACTTAATTCAGTAAACAAAACCTACCCATATTTATTGTGCAGAGACTGAAAAATAATTTCACAAGCATTTACTTACCAAATCGCTGAAAAATTAGAGAAAATCTTAATTTAAAAATAACATTCATTACCATGTTGTTTCATTCAACTAACATGCTTGTATAAATAAACTTAAAAGCAATTTTTAACGCAATAGAGTCTTTATATTTACAACTACCTAAAGTGTCAACTGCTAGAAATATGGTACTTCAGAGCATTTTGAATAATACTTGAGTAATATCTACCCTATTTTGTGGAATCCTGGTAGCGCTGTGGGGTAGGCACTGGACTGCCAAAAGTCAGCTCCAGGAAACTGGTGAGGTTATCTGCTAGAGTGAAGATTTACATGGGCGGGAATTCTATATAGGATTGCTAAGAATTGGAATTGACTCACGTCGTCAGTGGGTTTTGAGGAAGGGTTTGTAGTCACTTAAATGTGCAGCATGCTCTTTAATGTGAGAAGCCATCCTACAGAAATGCATGCATAACTATTCAAAGACTGAGGGTATTTCTTGCTGATATGCCGATGATGGTTAAAAACTTAGAAAAGTGAAATAATGGCATAGCCCTAAATGGAGAATTACTCAACAGTTGAAAAGAATAATCTACTTGCAATGGTGTGGAAAAATAAGATGCCGATGTTTTTTCAGTTAAATGTCCATTTATAATCAACTCCCTTTTGTTTCTTTTAAAAATGTTTCTGGAGTAACAAAGTTTAACTGCCACTGCCATAGTCATTTCCAACTCATAGCAACCTTGTATAGTTTCTGAGGCTGTAAACCTCTGTGGGAAAAAGAAAATATTGTCTGATCCTGTATCATCCTCAAAATTGTTATATTTGAGGCCACAGCTGCAGCCACTATATCAATCTTCTTAAGGGTCATCCTCTACTTTGCCAAGCACGTTGTCCTCTGTCAGAGATTGGTCTCTCCTAATAACATGTCTGAAGTACGTGAGACAAAGTCCTGCCATCTACTTCTAAGAAACATTCTAGTTGTACTTCTTTCAAGAAAGATGTTTGTTCTTTTGGCAGTTCATGGTACTTTCAATATTCAAATGTATCAATTCTTCCATGATCTTCCTTGTTCACGGTCTAACTTTAATATGGATAAGGGGATTGAAAATACTATGGCTTAGGTCAGGCACAGCTTAGTCCTCAAAGTAGTATCCTTGCTCATCAACACTTTGAGGTCTTATGCAGGAGATTTATACAATGGTCCATTTGATCTCTTGACTGCTGCTTCCATAAGCACTGATTGTGGATCCAAGAAAGATAAAACATTTTGACCACTCCTATCTTTTCTCCATTTATCATGAGGTTGTCTGTTGGTCAAGTTGTGAGGATTTTGGTTTACTTTACATTTTAGAGTTGTAATCCATACCAAAGGTTGCAGTCCTTGACCTTCATTAGCAAATGCTTCCAGTCCTCACTTTCAGCAAACGTTTGTGGCACTTTCATATCACAGGTTAATAAACCTTCCGCTAACCCTGGCACTGAATTATTCTTCATAAAGTCCAGCTTCTCAGATTATTTTCTCACCAAAGACTGAGTAAGTACGGTCAGAGAATATAATCCTGATGCACACATATTCTAATTTTAAATGATGCAGTCGACTGTTTTGCTTCTTGATCCATATACAGGTTCTATGTGAACACAATTCTAGGTGTCCTGGGATTCCTATCCTTCTCAATGTGATCTATAGTCTATTATGATCCAGCCAAATACCTTTGCACGGTCAATAAAACACAAGTAAACCTCTTTCTGGTGTTCTCTGCTTTCACTCAAGATCCAACTGACATCAGCAATATTCCCTCATGCCACTTCCTCTTCTGAATCAGGCTTGACTTTCTGGCAACTCCCAGTCACTGTACTGCTACAGCTGATTTTGAATGATCATCAGAAAAATTTACTTGTATGTGATAGTGATATTGAAAGTCTGATCATTTCTTTATTCTGTTGGGTCATCTTTCTTTGGAATAGGCACAAATATGGATGGATCTTTTCCAGTCAGTTAGTCAGGTAGCTATCTTCCAAATTTCTTGGCATAGATGAGTAAGCATTTCTAGAAACATTTCAACTGCTATCCCTTCAACTCCTAGAGCTGTCTTGTTATAGGTTAATGTCTTCAATGCAGTAACCGAAAATTAGATTTCTTTTTGAGCTTGGAAGGATCTCGGCTTCAAAACCCAATGAATGAGACTACAGTAAAATTAGACATCTCACAACAAAAGACTTATTTTGGTGGGAAAATTAGTAGAATCTGAATATTCCATTTTTAAGCAAAGAAGTAACATATTCAATGAATTACATTACCTGAAACATACCTAAGAGCTTTGATACATAACACTTCACTCAAAAGGTGGGGCACAGCTAATTTCATTCTGTACCTAAAAGTTAGCATGCATCATAGGGTCTCAAACTACAGACCTCTGGGTTGCTCCCTCTGGAGATTCTGACTCATTAGGTTACACATGGAACCCAGAGATCAGTTTCCAATGAGCAGCCAAGTTTGGAAACACAGAACACATACAGTGGGAAGTTCTATATAATAAATCTAGAAGACTAAGGAAACTTTTAAAAATCAAATAAAGCATTTCCATTTTTATATAGTAGGATAATGTCTAAGAGGCTCTGGTGGCCCGAGTTAGCTCAGTGAACTAAAGTGTTGACAATCTGAGCATACTGTCACTCCCAAAGTAAGAAATGTGGCCATCTGCTCTAAACAGGAAGTTCTATGGGACAGTTCCACTCAGTCCCACAGGTTACTAATGAGTCAGAACTGACTCGATACATGCCGATAAATCTCATAGTAAATGTCAAAATGAATGTAAATGATGAGATGATTCAAATTCACTGAACAAAAAAACCCCAAATATTTCAACAATTTTAACAGTTATTTCAATAATGATATTTAAAGCAGCTAAGCACATAAAGTTGTAGGCAACCCTTGGGGGAAAAAAGGACTAGGAGGTCAGTTCTATAATCAAAATAGCTAGATTTATCATTTTTGTGAATTAAAATGCTTTAGTTTAATCTCAAAATAATAATGAATTACCTTGTATAGAAAGAACTACATGAATTCAAGGAAAAGAATTTAAAGTACACAGCTCAGACACATATATGAAGAATTCTTTTTAAGCTTCTGAAAAAGGTTTTTTTTTCGATACATAATTCCATTATAAGAGGACATCAGAAACACATCAGACCTTTTCTATTTTGCAGAAGCTCTAAATAGCAGAAAACAGACCGTAGCCTTTTTCCACCCCTCCAAGCTTCTCCCCCACCCAGAAACATAAGAGAACGTAATGCAATCGGTTTATGAACACCACCTTGAGAGTGAGAACTACACTATTCCCACATGCTTTGACAACTGGAAAAGCGGAACTACAAATATAGACAATGTCTATCATCATCACAGCTACAGGAGGGCAGAAAACACTGATGTAGGGAATCTACCACCCGAGAACAAAACCTCAAAGTATAATGTATTCACCTGGGCCTTTCCTGAAAGCTGAAGACTTCTAGAGCCACAGTGTATTTCAGACAGAAGGATCGATGAAGACACGCTTTCTTCCAGGCAGAAGAAAGCAAGCCAACTCTATAGTAAACAGTTCTTTCAAGTTTGACTTTTGGTTACATTGGTTGACATGTTTCAAAACTATAAAATCTCACCCCGACTAGTTATTCCCTACAATCTTATTTACTCCATAAATGTTCTAGAAAATATTTTTTTATATTTGTTAACTCGGCATACATACTTTCATTTATCAGCCACTTCCATACCAGTTAATTCAGATGTCATTATTAGTGGAAATAGGAAAACAGGCCAATGAGCTCACACAACTCACCTGCACACCTACAGTTTTAATTGGCAGTAAGAAGGCATTCAGTGAATGCAGACTCGTAATTTGCATCAGCTTCTCCTGATCCTCTTCGGTTGTACAGGCTTTGACTCTTTGTAACAGTGTATGTGGCTGAGAAAATCAGAGACATTTCTTCAGGTTTTGAACACTGCAGTATAAATCCCTTTACTATCTATTCATTACATACCCTATCTAATGAACCTACACGTTACTGGTTTATAGCAGTGTAGGTATTTCTATTTAATTTGTATGTCTACACAGTTAAACCCCTGCAGTCCTGGTGGTGTATTGGACTATGAGTTGTGGTGTATTGGACTATGAGTTGTGCTGCTCACAAGGCCCAACAGTTCAAATTTATGAGCAACCCTGCAAGAGACAGACTTTGTACTCCTGTAGTTACAGTCTTGACAATTCACAGGCAGCAGGGCAGTTCTCCTCTGGCCTACAGGCTCGCTGACAGTCAGAATCAACTCAGTGGATGCAAGCTTGGAGTTTTATGCAGTGTTCTACAAAGTGCCTTCATGAGGGCTAAGGCTTAGGAGTGATACAATCAGATGAGAATTACAGATTAGATTGACATACATTAAGGCCTTAATTCTATCACCAGAAACATGACACCTCACGTGAATCAAATCCTTTTTTATCATCTCTAATAGTTGTCATATAGTCAATTTTGTCTGAAATTAATACATCTCCACTAACTTCGTTGTTCAGATTGTTAGTTGCCTAATACCCTTTCTTATACTCTCACTTTATCCCTAGGTATTAAGTTTTCTTCTTAAACTTCGGTTGGCAATGTATGTCTTAATTTTGAGTTAATGACATAGTTGAATTATATTACTCTATTCCTTTCTATATGCCAGACTTTTGTTTTTGGTAATCATTGGGAGTCCTCTTGGTTCTTACTATAATCCAGGGGTTCTCAAACTGTGGCCCGCCGAGGACATTTATCCTGCCCCCAGGTGTTTCCCCCGCTGTTTTACTTCAAAATGAAATATGTGCAATGTGCATAGGAATTTGTTCAGTTTGTTTTTTAAACTATAGTCCGGCCCTCCAACGGGTCTGAGGGGCAGTGAACTGGCCCCGTTGAGAAAGTTTGAGGACCCCTGCTATAATCCATACATCAATTGTATAGATTTGTACGTATGTTGCCATCATCATCTTTGAAACATTTACTTTCTACTTGAGTCCTTGGTATGAGCTTTTTCCCCTCTTCTGCACCTTTCCACCCTCGTGGCCTCTTAATAAATTATATATGTTTTCTTATCTTACCCCATCTACTGTCTCCCTTCACCTACGATTCTGTTGTTTGTCCCCCCAAGGGAGGTGGGGGTTGGGGTGTTCATACATCAATTCTTGTGATCAGTTCCCCCTTTTTTCCCCACTGTCTCCCTACCCTCATGGTATCGCTACTTACATTATTGTTCCTGAAGGGTTTATCTGTCCTGGATTCTGTGTGTTGAGAGCACTTATCTGTACCAGTCTAGCCAGATTGTAAGGTAGAATTTGGGTCATGACAGTGGCAGGGAGAAAGCATTAAAGAACTAGGAGTGTTGTGTTTCATCAATGCTATACTGTGCTCTGGTTCGTCCCTTCCTTGTGACCCTTCTGTGAGGGATGTTCTGTTGTCTACAGATGAGCTTTGGGACTCCATTCCAATCCCCCTCATTTGCATCAATATTGATTGTATGTTTTGGGTCCTCTGATGCCTGATATCTGATCCTATCAATACCTCATGATTACACAGCCTGGTGTGCTTCTTCCATGTGGGCTTTGTACCTTCTCTACTAGACAGCCAACTTGTTTTAACTTCAAGCCTTTAAGAGCCCAGACATTTCTTCTTTTAATAGCCAGGCACCATCAGCTTTCTTCACCACATTTGCTTATGTACCCATTTTGACTGCAACAATTCTCAGGTAGGTGGGCATCACAGAATGCCAGGTTGTTAGGACTGAGTGTTCTTGAGTTGAGAGAGGACCTGAGTGGAGAAGACCCAATGTCTATCTGATTGATACTTACCGTATGAATATATGTACATAGACCTATATCCCTGTTATATATTAATAAATTTACATATATACATGCCTATACTTATACCTCTATAAATGTCTTTTGCCTCCTACTTCTTTCCTCTATACGCCTGACTTTTTAAGGCTTATTTCTTGTCTTAATTTAAAATACTATGTAGATCTGATAATAAAGCCTTAATTCCTATTCTTTTAGTAGTTCCCCTAAGTGTTAACCTGCATACGTAACAATGGAGAATCTATAGCTCTGTCCTCTCTATAAACAATAAAAACATATATGAATATTGTAATTCCAATCAACCACCTTTTTGACAAAGTATAAGGAGAAAGATGAAGCTGTTTCCACCAGTAAAGATTTAGCCTCGAAAACTATATAGCAGTGGTCCTCAACCTTTCTAATGCCATGACCCTTTAATACAGTTCCTCATGTTATGGTGACCTC